ATGGCATGAGAATTGGCCATATCAATGGCAAGTTTTTGAAGAAGTATTATCTTTGAAGTTGCAACGCTCCTTGACGCATGAGCCTAAACTGCATGTTTCTACGCTCCTGGCCTGCATGAGTCTAAACTGTGTATGGCCCACCAAAAAACAAAAAATAATACGGAAAAAAAAGAATCCGCTAGGTTGAAAACCCCGAAAGAGGCAGCCTAGGCAAAAGTTAGGACATAAATAAAATAAAATATTACCCATTCTGAACTACGGTATGACTTGATCCTCTTCACCGAGGTACGTAGGCAGCTTAGAGTTTCATTCTAAGTTCAGTCACATGATTTCAAAAGATACATAGTGTCCTAATTGTAGTCAGAGTGAAGTATGAAAAGAATGTAAAATCAAGCTGAAATGCCATCCTTCTGTTGATCTTTGGATCACATTTGATTTAATGGGGGCAAGTTGCTATGGTAAAATGGTGTCTTCACTGAAATGATGACAATATTTGCATCAAAGTCTAGAGATTCGCTATGTCTTCATGCTCGCATAACCTTCAAGTTTGTTGGTCTTCATATCCGCTCACTTCCCTAAAAAGGGAAGAGTAACAATCGCAATCATGTAAGAGAGCATGGATAAGTGAAAAAACAATCGCCTCAATCGTAAAAAAAAGGATGTCTGTGTCGAACTTCTTCTAAAGGTTTTCGTTGTAAACTTTTAAAGGTGTTTGTCCCGAACTTTTAAAGGCATTTGAATTTTTAAAGGTTTTCATAGAGAACTTTTAAAGGTGTTCGTCTCGAACTTTTAATGGCATCCGAATTTTTAAGGTTCTAGTTCCGAACCTTTAAAAGGTGTACATCTTGAGCTTTTAAATGTGCCTGTCTCGAACTTTTAAAAGTGCTCATGGAAAACTTTAAAGGGTCATCATTGCCGACTTATTTCTACCATGAGCTTTTAAGGGTCTTCGCCGCGAGTTTTTAAAGTTCTTTATCTCGTGCTTTTAAAGGTCTTTACCGCGAACTTTTAAAGGTCTTCACTGTGAACTTTTAAAGATCTTGACCACGAGCTTTTAAAGGTCTTTGCAAGAACTTTTATTGGTCTTTGCCACAAATTTTAAAGGTCTTCATCGCGGACTTTTATGGACTTCGCTGCAAATTTTAAATGTCTTCATCACGAGTTTTTAAGGATCTTTGTGGAAATTTTATAGGTCGTCGCCACGAATTTTTAAAGGTCCTCATCGCATTCTTTTAAAGGTATTTGTCGCGAACTTTTAAAGGTCTTCACAATGAACTTTTAAAGATCTTGACCACGAGCTTTTAAGGATCTTCGTGCAAACTTTTATGGATCTTCCCCGCAAATTTTAAAGGTATTCGTCGCGAATTTTTAAAGGTCTTCACCGCAAACTTTTAAAGTCTTCATTGTGAACTTTTAAAGATCTTGACCATAAGCTTTTAAGGATCTTCGCGCTGACTTTTATAGGTCTTCCCCGCAAATTTTAAAGGTATTGATCGCGAACTTTTAAAGGTCTTTATCTCGAACTTTTAAAGTATTTCGTAGTTAGACAAAGTTACTTCTTAAAAAAAGACAATAGACTAAAAAAAAAGTACAAGAAAATAAGAAAGTCGTCAAAAGTAGACTCAAAACAATTTTCAAACGCTCAAATTGGTACTGTAATTGGTACTAATGTAATGAAAGACGTATGATATTTATAGATGTCAAAAGGAGAAAGATAATTACCAGTGTGGGATCAACAGAAAATACGGCTAACAACTAGTTTCCATCACAAATTGGGATGCTATAATTTGATTCCTACTCAAACTACGAAATGCCAGCTGTGCATTCTAGGTTTGGAATTTGACGATGCTAGTCTAAGAATGACAGATACGTCTCTAAATACATCTCGGATGAGACGTTAATAGCAATTAGGATTCATTTCAATTCAATGTGATCACCGGAAAGAATATTCAAGCATTTCTTCTATATATGTTAAGTGCAACAACTTGTTTATGTGTTTCCTCATGGGAGACAATAATGGTGTATGATTGTATCACTTAATAGATATTTCACGTGAGAATTGGGACATTGGAAAAGATGAAATGCATTGTCTTTAGTGTCATTGTCTTTATTTTCATTATAGTATTCACAATTAATTTTGGATTTTACATGGGCATGCGGCATCCTAGATTAACCAAGTTGGAAAGTTTATCCAACTTTGCAATTGCATAAACCTTAAATGAAATAAGCTTGAAAATTATGGAAAGCTTGAGAATTGGTAGGCAACTTGCAATTTGCACAAGCGTGTAACTGTGGATACTTTAAGCCTCGTCTTTTAAAGTTTATAAGTTGTATTTTAACGAGTCTTGAAGTAGGAGGCATTTGTAAGTATGCAAAATTTATTAAATTTAAATTTAATAAAATAATTTGAATTATATTGAAATATATTAATCCAAATAAATAATGTGGGTTAATATAATTTGATTAATTGCTTAAATCCAATAAATATTTATTGGGCTAGCCCATTTAGTTAGGCTACAAATGATGAACCCACTTTATTAGGCCCAATATATCATCTTCCTAGAGGTCCAATTTGGTACCACGTGTCAAATGACGTGGCACACCACGTCAAATGGAAGAGCCAATAGGACCATGCCACGTGTCAAAATGACAAGGCATGCCAAGTCACATTAAAAGGCTAATGAAATCGTGTCACGTGTGCAAGTGACATATTCTGACCAATCCAATGCGACCATATCACACTTCAATTGATTGGTCGGAAAGAGTTTGGTCTTATCACAACTCCTCACTTTCACAACTATAAATAGAGATCTTCATAACTCAGAAAGACACCAGAAGTTATAACAAGAAGCAAGAAAGTGCTCGTGAATCAAACGCTGCAAATTCCTCCACAAGTTTCAAGCTTCAAGTTCAAGAAATCAAGTTCAAGCTCAGGAACGAAGAATAAATCAAGGTCAAGTTCAAGCAACCAAGCTAAAGCTCAAGAACAAGATCATCGTTTGTGGCGACAACTACATATTCAAGATCAAGCTCAAAGGCCCTTAAATTTATTTACTATTGGAAAGAAGAATCAGAGGATTCATAGAGATTGTAACGCTCAAATATTTGAAATAAACTACTACGATTGTTGCAATATTTTTCGGTCTTAATTTTATTTTCACGACGCAAATTTATTATCTACAGACATATAACTTAGTTTTTTTACACAAAAATCATGAAACTTTCAATAACTCTCACAAAAATTATAGTGACCGGAAAGAACAATTTTTCAATAGTATTTTCTTATTCCTTATTTTTTTAGTATAATAAATAATATTCAACCCGGCCCGACTCAGCCGACCCAAAATCCATATGTATAGGTTAACTTTTATTTCTTATCGTTTTGGCCAGATTCTCATACATTCCGAACAAAGGTTTTTGTGGGGGAATAATTTACTTTTAATTATTTTACTTTATGTATACATTGGGTAAGTTGGGTTGGGTCATTCCTATTTTAAGAGAAAAATACAAAATTAACTGGGGTCGAAACTAATTATATTTATTAGTAAAAAATGTGTGTGTGTATATATATATAATGTATTTTTTCTATTTTAATTGGTTATTATTTATTAGACTAAAAATAAAAAATAAAAAATGTGGAACAACAAATACTACCAAAAAATTGTATTTTCTGGTCAATGTGATTTTTGCGGCGTGCAACCCGATCTCATAAATCCACCCTTATTACTCCTCAATATATCACCCTTATTCCTCATGTTGCAGCGTGCAACCCGATCCCACCAATCCACCCTTATTACTCCTATTGCGGCGCGCAACCCAATCCTACCAGACAATCACATTTCACTCTTATTCCTCCTCAATATATCACCCTTATTCCTCATGTTGCAGCGTGCAACCCGATCCCACCAATCCACCCTTATTACTCCTATTGCGGCGCGCAACCCAATCCTACCAGACAATCACATTTCACTCTTATTCCTCCTCAATATATCACCCTTATTCCTCTTGTTGCGACGTGCAACCCGATCCCACCATATCAGTACCAATCACATAATAAGAACAAGTATTTCATAATTTAGCTCAAAATCCTCTACAATATTTATGCCTCAAAACAAAGCAAATAGAAAGCTATACACTTATAAAACTTCACTCAATTACTACTACACAGCGAGACCAACAAAAATATACCATGATACACCGATAAACCAACTTAAACCAATAATGTAACACAATGAGACTGCGGAACAATTACTACCTTCAATAAAGAAAACAACGTCTAACAAGAAGCCATTAAACATAGAAGCACCAATAAGCATGTAGCAGTTAAGACAGGAAGATAGTATATTAGGAACGGGGAAAGGGACAGGCTAAACAGATAATTTGGCGGCACTAAATGTGTACAGTAGCGACTTTGGAACTGCTGCAAGTACTTCCATTACTGAATGTTACTAGTGACGACAACATGAGGTCACCACAGAATGTATACCTTTTGTGACGACATTGTCGCTACAAAAACTTGATGTACTCGCCACAAGAAAGAGTTCCACTAGACTGATTTTATCGAAGTCGCTACTGAAAAGTAACATTTAGTGGCAACTTAGTCGCCACAAAAATAGTTAATCATCTATGGCAACTCTAAAAGCGCTACTGTAGAGTGATATTTAGTGGCGACTTAGTCGCCACAAAAATGGTTAGCCATCCGTGGCAACTCTAATACCGCTACTGAAGACTGGCATTTAGTGGCGACTTAATTGCCACAAAAATAATTTTCCATTAGTGGCAACTCTAATAGCGCTACTGTAGAGTGACATTTAGTGGCGACTTAATTGCCACAAAAATGATTTGCCATCAGTGGCAACTCTAATAACGCTACTGAATAGTGATTTTTGTGGCAACTGAAACTCGCCATTAATATTACTCTAGTAGCAACTGAATACTAGAGTTTACATTAATATATAAGTTTAAGATCATCTAACAGTATTTAATAAACACCAAAAGAATTTCCTAAACCAAATACTAAACACTTCCATTACTAAAAGTTCAATTACATATATACTATGCAATACTTCATTTTCATTGTACGCATATACATATAACCAAAATGCAAGATATTGAGTGCCTTAGCTTCAAGCTCCTCCGCATATACACTATGTAATACTTCATTTTCATTGTACGCATATACATATAACCAAAAAGCAAAATATTGAGTGCCTTAACCTTTAAGTTCCTCCGCATATATATACTACGTAATACTTCGTTGTCATATATAACCAAAAAGTAAAACATTGAGTGCCTTAGCTTCAAGCTCCTCCTTCATTGTCACCACTGTTTAAGAACCTTGTCCCTATTATTAAAGAAACAAATAGAAGATCACATTGTTAGAGCTTGAAGATTGTTATAAGAACATTAACAATCAAGGTTCTGGAACATTAACTTAACTTCACATTGTTAGAAGATCAAGGTGAAAAAAGATACATATAAGAACATTAACTTCAGAAGATTTCTAAAGTAGGATAGCTGAACTCTTCAAGGTTCTGGAACAATTTCAAGGAACTACAGCAAATGAAGACAGAATAGTTTGAAAGCATCACAGTAAAGGCAGCAACACAGTAGGTCTGTTTATATAGCCTTCAATGATACTGGATCAACACAATGTTTATATAGCATCAACAAAATGTTTATATAGCCTTCAACAAGGGTACTACATCGAATTGCAAAAGCTATATGCAACTACTTTGGTGTAGAAAGTAAATTTATCTATAACTATCCAACTGTAGGAATATTTGGATCCTCCAAAATCCAACCAAAGTTGTTTGAAAACATAGGAGAAGGAGAAATGGCTAGCTTTTTGCTAATACTATGAAGACTTATCCAAAAAAGAATCTCAAGTCTAGCATTGACAAACACGAACCAGCACAATGAGCGCAAGAAATGAACTAATATTAGCCTTTTAGAAATATTGGACTGATGGCAGTAATGAACTAAAAAAGGGCTGATGGTAACATAAATATCAATTGTATAATGCTAGATACATATGTGTTGGTTGACATTTTATAGTGAACTAAATACACTGAAGGAAGAGTAAGAAGAGTACAAAAACATTAAGAGTAGATCACCTGTTGCATTCCAGTCATGATAGCAGCAAGTTGTTCTTGAATCCTCTTGGCTACTTCTACACTGATCCGGTTGTCTACTTCCGTATTCACGTGCTCAAGTTTCTCTTCCAACTTCCTTTGCACTCTTGTTCCATGTTACTTTTTAATTCGGCATCCATTTGTTCATGTTCTTCTTGCAACTTTCGACTCATCTCAGTGATTTAAGAATATTACATGAATTTGTTGGGATTGTGGATCCACCACACAATTTCTCCATTATCATTTTTACATACCTATTTTAATCACATTCTGTTCATAAAACGCACCATACCAACCCTATATTGGCAAATGACTCATCAAATCAACAACAACAACAACAACCCAGTGAAATCCCACTAATGGGGTCTGGGGAGGGTAGTGTGTACGCAGACCTTACCCCTACCCCGAAGGGTAGAGAGGCTGATTCCGAAAGACCCTCGGCTCAAGAGAACAAATCAGTTGTAATTAATTTGGTGGTACCTATTACTAATATAATCAAAGAGGTTCTAGGGACTGTGTGCAAGAAACCCCGACTAACCCTGGAAAGAACAAAAAAGGAAGAAGAAATGCAGGAATAACACGTTATGAATGAAAGAGTTGTATGATTTTGATATCATCATCAACCAATAATAATACTGAACCATGGGCTTAAAAATGATAAGCCTATAATACGAAGCCTATAGTTCCCCAGAATTTCTAGTTTCATTATCATATTTCAATTGGTGATAAATAAGGAAATGATGATCCCAAAAACACTTCCAACTGGCAGCTCTTAAGACGAAGTCTAATAATAGTATAAGTAAAAGCTGTTTCTTGATCTACATCTGTAGATGCTCTTCTGAAGAAAGAAGAGCTAGCAAATACAAACTATCAACAAAATTCAATGAAGTATTCTACGATCACTTCCACAATGACATGACTGCCACCCACTAAAATTCACAAATGAAACAAAATAACCGTATATAGTTTGTAAGCTTTCTAAAGTAGGTGCTACTGTTGTTTAGTACTTTCCAAATTGTAAAATAGAAAATGAACCGTAATACTCACATATTAGATATAATTAGCTTCATTCACAGATCCTTTGTCTATCTATACCTAAGTTAACTTTAAAGGTCATATAAAGCACCACTTAATAGCCAACAGTGCTCTCACCGTCGACCCAGGATTTGTTAATGCATTAATGTATAAAACTGAAGAAAGATACGCCAGACAAAACAATAAATCAACAGATACACGGATCACATAAGCGACAAATGGAAGGGAAAAAAAACTCCAACATCAATGCGTCTCACGTCTCATTTTAACCCGAGAAATCAAGTCAATGTGTTACGACAGAAACATAAATGATGATGACAAGGAGGAGAAGGGGCTGGATTCTTTCATTCTTCATAAACTTGAACCGTATCAAGCTCATCTATAAATGCATAATAGTTGTCGCCGCCTAATTAAAACTAGCTATTCTTGGTCCATATATGTATCAACACGTGTTTTACAAGGTAACGTGGATAATGTTTCCAGGAGAAAGAACAGCTAACATTCCCACAGCAAGTTCTTTTTCCTTGTCACGAACAACATCAGATGACCTCTCGCAGATTATTATCTCATTGACCTATTCTTCTCGTTCATGCCCTCCCACTCTCGCCTTGTTCCTTTTCTTTTTTTTAAAGATAACTTTCCTGGTGTTCTCCTTCCAATCGTTCCTTCCAGCCCTCATTCACCTACTCATTATCTATTTAATAGTTTCTTCTACCTACATAATTTAAAGGGCAACCAGCCGCCACTCGATTTGGGGCCCTCCATCCGTCATAATAGATAAACAAAAGCAGTCTACGATTGCCGGTTTTTAGGAATAGAATTTATAGGAGATATTTATGAAGCAGCTAAAGAAAATCGCGCCCCCAACCTTCCAACTGGAAAGACTAATTAAACATAAAATTCAATTTCTGTTCTTCCCGTTTCCCGTTTCAAGCTGAAAATTGTTTAAAACATTAGTTTGATTATGCTAAAAGTAAATACTTAGTTAATAATATACTGCACCAGCTCAGAAATAGTAGTGTTTATGAGCGTGAACTGTAAAGTAAGGAGTGGAAAACGTCAAGCTTTTTTGGTAGAAATTTGATGAACAAAGGGAGCAAGACTGGAACATATCTAGGAAAGAGCTACTGGAACTTGTTGAAATTGGCATTTTACCTGAAGATGACACTGAAGAGGCTACCGCTGCCAGTTTCAACTCTGTATGTTCTCTATCCTAGCATAGTGTTATATTTGTGCATAAAATAAGCCTAATTCTGCTAATAACGATTTTGCCTTGACCAGTGTGGACCTACTAATTTTAGTTCGGAAGGCCTATGAAGAACAAAATATTTCCCAAATATACTTCAATTGAGCTTTGTGAGAACAGAGAAGAGCAGTTTTTGGTTTTAATTCTAAAAAGCAATAGGGCAACCTTCTAATTAAAATACATATCAAAATACCAAGCATCACACAATGTATCAGAAAAGAGTTACAGACATAACTCTTGAAAAGTCCAACAACTAAAACCCATAAGGCAGAGATTTTCTTGCGCAGAAAATCAATTGTTTGTGCAGCAAGAGCAGTATCATATCTACCCATAAGGCAGTGGTTTTTTTCACTCTCAGAAATAAGAAACTTAGGGCATACCACACAACAAAGAATCGCGTAAAAAACTGCTCTATGGAATTTTGTCGAAAAATATCAGGAAAAATAACAGACCCATACCACACAACATCTCATTTCAGAATTTTGAGAGGAATACCAAACATGCAATCACCAAAAAGTTTAGAATTTCAATAAAAATAACTTACCCAGCAAAGAGATCGTCAACACCGAGAAGGGCTTTACACGATGATATTGTTGGAAAAATTGCTTTCTACTCCTGTAGATTTCAAATGGGTTAAATAAATTAGAGGTGAATGTGATGAAATAGTCACTCTTGCTAACTGCATTTAACACCCAAAAGGATTTGGGGTTTGAATACATTACCTTATTTGAGTACAATCTTAAAATACAAATGGTGTTAGGGCTTTTGGGTTTCATAAAGTAGGTTCACATCTTGTGATTAAACAAAAGTGAAAGATTTAATTTGGGAATTTGGAAGAAGAATTTGGGTTTCATACATTAGGTTTCAATGGCTTTTGCAGAGAGAAAAGAGAAGAGGGAAGAAGGAAGGGACCGTCTTCGGCCTTCTTTTATTAAACGAGACAATCTTAGGTAGTATTTAGTTTTTTATTTTAAATATCAGATACTTACACTATTAGAGGCGACCCTATCGCCCCAAATACCATCAGTGGCGACTCTCTATAAGTCGCTATTTGGAGCCAAATTTTTTGTCATAGTGGGAACAAATAATTGAGGATTTAGTGGCGCACAAGTCCGGAATCCAATTGTAGTTCTTGGACTCAAAATACATAAATAGGTAGAAAAAAAAGATGACATTTTTATATATAGTACCAAAATACTTTGCGCTATACATTAACGTTAACTGTGTCGTTAATGTATAACGCCTAGTATTTTGGCACTATACTGAAAAAGCTGAACGCCCAGGTATAGCGTCCAGTATTTTGGCTCTATACTCTTTTTTCCTGGCCCCATCAATAATTCATGACTTCAATAATTCAAAAGCGTATAGTGCCCATTTTTTGGGCGCTATATATATAAAAAAATTCCCGGCTAGCCATTTCCTATATAAAGAGGTTAGGATTGTATAGAAATTCATTCAAAAAAAATTTTAACTCTTGTTGAAACTTTTATTATTGTTAAATTCTCCGGCATTTTTTCATTATGTCTGAAGAGCGTAGAATAAAAGTTTCATTATATTGGGGGGAGGGGGGAATGCGGTTGTGATGGAGAATAACTCTATGGGCTACAGTTTACCTGCTCGGTGTCATGTTAAATTGCCGCTTACAATGGAGTACGATAAATTGATATCGTTGTTATACAAAAAAATGAGTGTGAGGAAATGTTCAGTGATATTTAAACTAACCGAAAGATATCCGTATTCCGTCACTTTGCAAGGGGTTGCTTTTTACTCGGAGTTTAACATCGACGATGATGAAACTTTGAGTGATTTTCTGAGGACTCCGGACGAATGTCGGGTATTTCTTGTAATCACAATGTTGGAGATGTACGTGAAGGTCGAAGACGTTCCAAAAAACGAGGTTGTGCGTAGTAGAGATAACCCCCAGTCATCGGGTGGTTATTCTGGAGCAGTTTTTGTCGGACAGGTTCCAGATGAAAGAGTTTTACTTGAATTAAACTTATCACCATCGGCGAATGAGCAACGAGAAAATAATTTATACCCTGTTTTCCATAATTCACAAGACGAGTAGTAAACTTCAATTTTCATTTGTGTTAATTATGTATATTTTTGGCGTATTGAATTTGTATTAACGCTCATATATTTAATAGGGAGTACCAGCCAAATATGAATTTTACAAGTGGCCCATCCGATAGTCATCACCTAATTGAAAACGTCCATCATGAAATTTCATCACATTACGACTTATAAGTGAAGTGATATAGCCATATGGAAAGCATTTATTAATTGAGTAGCTTATATTTTTGTTGGTTGTGCAGTGAAAACGAGCAAGTTGAACCACCCGTACTCACTCAATTGACCGAAAATGACGTATTACAACGGGATCTGGCAGATGCACAGAGTGAGGAACAGAAAAGTGATTACGATAACAATGTCGATGAATCCGGAGACAAGACACCCTTTCCTGGTGAGGATGGTGATGAGCAGGATGAGGAGGAAGGACCTGATTTAAAGAGAGACCCCCTAGACGAAGAGTGTACGAGTTCGAAGTGCCGTTTCATTCAAGGGATATTCCTTACATTGATAACTTACCCACCGTGTCGGATGTGGAAACTCTCACAAGGGATTTTGATGAAATCCGGGCAGCAATGTGGGATGAGTCTAGACCAATGGTGCTTGCAAAGGGGATGTTTTTTTCCTGATAAAGCACGTTTAAGCAGGGCTTGTAAAATGCACAACGTAAAAAAGTGTCGTGAGATACAGGTATCGGAGTCAAGTCCGATGGTATACAAGGTTGTTTGCCATATGTGGTTTTGACCATGTAATTGGATGTTGCGTGCGACCAAGAAGAAGATAGGTATGTAGAAAGTGGGTAAATACATTCCCACCCACACATGTGAAATTGACACATTCAACGGGAATCACTTCAACTTGGATATTGACTTGATTTCTCTTATACTTATTCCGCACCTCGAAGCGGCCATAAGGTATAAAATCAAAGAGTACATTACAGCAGTCCACCAGGAACATGGCCATACAATTACTAAAATAAAGGCATATCTCGGGCGCAAAAGAGCATTTGAAATAGTCTATGGTATATAGTATAAGTCATTTGCAGATCTACCTAGGTACATGGCTGCACTGTAGCAATTTAACCCCGGGACGGTTGTTGAATGGAAGCTTGAGCGGATTCCAGGTAAACCATAATATATATTCAATTACATATTCTAGGCGTTTAAGCGAGGAATTGATGATTTTTTGCATTGCCTGCCCGTAATATCCATAGACGGAACTCATGTCTATGGAAAGTACGATATCAAGCTATTGATAGCCGTGGCAGTCGATGCTAATGGACAGATATTTCATCTAGCTTTTGCTGTTTGGAGGAGGGGGTTAGGTTGTGATGGAGAATAACTCTGTGGGCTATAGTTTACCTGCTCGGTGTCATGTTAAATTGCCATTTACAATGGAGTACGATAAATTGATATCGTTGTTATGCAAAAAAATGAGTGTGAGGAAACGTTCAGTGATACTTAAAGTAACTGGAAGATATTCGTATTCCGTCACTCCACAAGGGGTTGCTTTTTACTCAGAGTTTAACATCGACGATGATGAAACTTTGAGTGATTTTCTGAGGACTCCGGACGAATGTCGGGTATTTCTTGTAATCACAATGTTGGAGATGTACGTGAAGGTCGAAGACGTTCCAATAAACGAGGTTGTGTGTAGTAGAGATAACCCCCAGTCATCGGGTGGTTATTCTGGAACAGTTTTTGTCGGACAGGTTCCGGATGAAAGAGTTTTTCTTGATTTAAACTTATCACTGCCGGCAAATGAGCATTGAGAAAATAATTTATACCCTGCTTTCCATAATTCACAAGACGAGTAGTAAACTTCAATTTTCATTTGTGTTAATTATGTATATTTTTGGCATATTGAATTTGTATTAACGCTCATATATTTAATAGGGGTACCGGCCAGATATGAATTTCACAAGTGGCCCATCTAGTAGTCATCACCTAATTGAAAAATGTCCATCATGGAATTTCATCACATTACGACTAGTAATTGAAGTGATATAGCCATATGAAAAGCATTTATTAATTCAGTAGCTTATATTTTTGTTGGTTGTGTAGTGAAAACGAGCAAGTTGAACCACCCGTACTCACTAAATTGACCGAAAACGACGTATCACATCGGGATCTGGCAGATGCACAGAGTGAGGAACAGAACAGTGATTACGATAACAATGCCGATTAATCCGGAGATGAGACACCCTTTCCTCGTGAGGATGATGATGAGCAGGATGAGGAGGAAGGACCTGATTTAAAGAGAGACCCCCTAGACGAAGAGTGTACGAGTCCAAAGTGCCATTTCATTCAAGGGAGATTCCTTACATTGATAACTTGCCCACCGTGTCGGATGTGGAAGCTCTCATAAGGGATTTTGATGAAATCCGGACAACAATGTGGGATGAGTCTAGACCAACGGTGCTTGCAAAGGGGATGCTTTTTCCTGATAAAGCGCGCTTAAGCATGGCTTGTAAAATACACAACGTAAAAGAGTGTCGTGAGATACAGGTATGGGAGTCAAGTCCGATGGTATACAAGGTTGTTTGCCGCAGGTGGTTTTGGCCATGTAATTGGATGTTGCATACGACCAAGAAGAAGACAGGTATGTGGAAAGTGGGTAAATACATTCCCACCCACACATGTGAAATGGACACATTCAACAGGTATCACTTCAACTTGGATATTGACTTGATTTCTCTTGTACTTATTCCGCACCTCGAAGCGTCCATAAGGTATAAAATCAAAGAGTGCATTACAACAGTCCACCAGGAACATGGCCATGCAATTACTAAAAGAAAGGCATATCTCGGGTGCAAAAGAGCATTTGAAATAGTCGATGGTAACTGGGATAAGTCATTTGCAGATCTGCCTAGGTACATGGCTGCACTGCAGCAATTTAACCCAGGTACGGTTGTTGAATGGAAGCTTGAGCGGATTCCAGGTAAATCAGAATATATATTCAGTTACGTGTTCTAGGCGTTTAAGCCAGCAATTGATGATTTTTCGCATTGCCCTCCCGTAATATCCATAGACGGAACTCATGTCTATGGAAAGTACGATATCAAGCTATTGATAGCCGTGGCAGTGGATGCTAATGGAGAGATATTTCCTCTAGCTATTGCTGTTTGTGCCAATGAAAGCACAGAGACGTGGACGCTGTTTTTGAACCACCTGAAAGAGC